AAAATTCCAAAATTGAAATTATCAAATTTCAAAAAGTTGAAATTATCAAAACTTCCAAAGATGAAATTATCAAAGTTTCAAATTTTCAAATTTTCACAAAGTTGAAATTATCAAAATTCAAATTTATCAAAACTTTAAAAATCAAATTGGATATTTTAACTTACTAAAAAAGTAAGATGGCCAATTACCCAATCACCTATCCTAACTTGTCTTTTGTATCATTTTCAGGAAATGATTCAGACCTGAACGCAAAAGCCTTTTGGACTTCAGTTGAGAATAAAATTGCATTCTCACTAGGGCAACGACCCACAGACGCTGTCACTCAGCCTAACTATGATCACAGACGAAAAAGATTGTTTGGAACGTTTTTATTAACGAAAACAGCTCTTGAATGGTCTACTGATGAAGTAACTAATGCTACTAATTGGGCTAAACTAAAAGATCTTTTCCTACAAATATTCACTGATGGTCGAGATCGATTCAAGCATCGTCCTAAATTGCAAACAAAAAAACCCCTACCAACGGCCGTAGACACGTTCCAGTAAAAACCAAATACGGCACAGTATATTATATTAATTGTAACTGAACAACCGGCTTTGCTAAAACCTGTCTTAAACGAATAAACTTTATCAGAATCTGATCTATATAAACCAGCAAAAATAAGCCAAGAAACATTAATTTCAAAAACTTCTCAACATCCGAAACCTTCCTCTGCTGATTGATACTTCTCAGCAATTGCAAAAATCTATAATTTTCAAAAGTAATGTCTAAAATCAGCGATCTCGAAGAAGGTGAAATAATGGACCTTGATCAATCAACGGACCAAATAATCGATGATTTGCTGAAAGTAAGTTTAATTTCTATTCTCCGCCACCGTCTAAAACTAACAAATTTTTGGTTGGCTATCTATACTCTTTTATTATTTCCTCAATAGATCTGCGCTTTTAACCCAGATGAAACGCTAATACACTAATACGCTAATAAAGCAAAAGATCTAAAAATTGCGCATTTTGATTGTCAACTAATTACATCGAATAAAATTTTCTCACTTAAAGTAGCTCTCTGCAAAATACAACCTGAAAATATCGAAACTATAACAGCTGAGGTTACTCTCTACCAACGGCATTAAAGTACAAAATTTAATGCGATAATGTGTCGTATAAAACACCAATCTATCCGATGGTTTTGTGATTCTTTCGATTCAAGCGGAATAGACGCTCGCCAAAATATAATCACAACTGATATACACATTTCCCCTGATACTTGTAAGCACGTCGCCGAACGGGGATATGTTAACTTAGGATACTCAAAAAATATTCTTTTTCGCTTCGACGAAAAAATTGTCACAAATACAAATAGAGGCAAAGTTGATGGCAAATACCACAACGAATACAGCGATCGTTCTTGTATCCATTTGGATACTTTTAAATCGTACATGCAAAATTTTTCCTGAACTGTCAATCTAAAAGATGGCACCGTTAATAACTGGCAATCTATTCCATTGCCTTGTCCTGTATATGAAAACGGATGTGAAACAACAACACTCGACCCTTTTGCATAAACTTGGAACATGCCCGAAAACTGAATTTTTTCGGTTCTGAATAAATTTGAAGCAAAATTGATTCGAAATGAAGAAAATTATTATATTGTAAAAGACTGATTTACTAAAATATGGAACCACCATACGCGAGGTAGAGACACTCAACAATTTATGCTAAAAATACTAAATAAACCACAATCTTTATCACAATAAACCCAAAAACAGTCTACCCGACCCAATACGAATCATTGTTCATAGCATACCAAAACGGTTTTAATATGGATACCGGTTTAGAATTAAACCCGAGTGCTAATACAGAAATTATTCATTCGGAACCAAATTTGACTTATGTAAAATACGCAAAAAATTAAAATTATCCCTTTGCACCGGGACAAATAGACTACAAAGCTCATCTAGGAAAAAAACTAGAAGCTTTTACATGCTTCGAACTGCCAAATTGGCACTTTTAACGAATCAATGTGAGTTAGAACGCTCCATGATTATCAATACTTTAATGCTCTTTATCGAAAGCCCGCGTTTGGCCGGCTATATTTTGACCCGAAATAGGTCTATGTTTTTAGAGACCAATGGCAATGTTGCCTGGCTCTACCACTACCCAAAATTTTATTCTCCATTACAATTAATAGATGCATGCTATAATCGGATACCAATTATGTATCGCGAAAAAGTTCATTTCGTCGACCCGATCACTCGACAAACTTTTAAATGGGCAGATCAACAAGACTGCTCCGATAAGCATTTAAATCTTTATCAACTAGATGTTGATAACGACAATTCTTGGATCGAACTCACACCCTCTATTACTAGAGTAAAAGGTCCAGATCTTTTTAAGCCGAAAGAAATTAAACGGCAAGTAAAACACTCTCTTGCATCTCTATACGCTTATGCACAAATGCAAAAATTTTGGAGCATGATTACCGATAACTCTGAAATGAAGGGTATTTTACAAAAAGTATCCCAATCTTTTCTTAATGCAAGAAAACACTTCTATCCGGACTCGAGTAGTCAATACGGATCTACGCAAAACATATACTTGGACTATCTTATCTCGCCTGATTTTTGGAAAAAACGAGTACACGCGTATTTTTGGTACACTACAGTACTATTTAGAAAGATGCGGAATAATATTCGCCTCTTTCATTTTCGTTAAGTTTATACGCGACGCTCTTGTATTTGTAATAAAAGTTTCACACATACACAAACTAACCGGCCGAACTCTTCATTTCGGAAAAGTTATGTTAGCCGCCCCTTACAATATACTTTTCACTTCTATAGTGACTTCAATATTCGCTCAAAATGAGAACGATCAAAATATTGAGCTTGATCATAGGCCTCAGGTACCTATGATCAAGCTATGACCTAAACGAAAATCAGGATAAAATTTATCCTAGACTCCAACTAGTCGATTACAATAATCGACCCGCTGTAACGGTCTAATTTATTTTATGTTTTAGGATATGCCCGCTGATCTTCTTCAAACTCCACTTGAAGAAGACTTGCTCAATTTCGAAAACCTTCTGTCTTTAAATGACCCTATGGAAATGCCATCCAAAATAATCAACCCGATAAATCAACCAAAATTGAATATCAACTTTAAAATTCCAAAAGTGGAAAACTCTTATGGCATTCAAAAAAGAAAAGCAATTGTCCGACCTTTCAAAATTCTCCCTTCTTCTTCAACTAGGCAAAACCTAGATTGTGAAACTGTAATAGTTCACTAATCCGCAAACTCTCTAGAACTTGAATCAAAAATCGCAATTCAAGTCAAAAAGGAACAAAACCTCAACCCCAGGAAACCACCAAATTTTGACACCAGTTTAAATTATGCGCTCTCTCCCTTTATTAACCGGTTTAAGATAGAAACCTATCACCCTTACCAAAACGGTGACGGTGCCTACCGTCTGGTTAATCCACAACTCCCCCATTTGTGTTCCTGCAGCCTTTATAACTGCCCAAATGCAGACTCCAATCCTTGACTCCTACACGAATCAAGTGCAAAAGAATTACATAAACGACTTAAATCGCATCAACCATATGCAGAAAACCATAACAGTGCTCCGAGAAAAAAAATAAGGATCTCAGCAATAGAAATCTGAGTCTAAAACCCAGGTGGAATGAAACTATTAGTTTCAAGATTATCTATTAACCTCCGTCCTTTTATTTTTTAAACTCCAACTGTGATTTGGCTGCCGCCACTTTACAAAGTATGCATGCTTCTACAATTATAGCCCAGTATTGCTGATAAGTATATTCGCTAAACCAAAATTTGAAAAATTATATTTGATGTTATATTTCTCAAAAGTTTCCAGCTGTGATTTGGCCGCCGCCACAACTCTACAAAACTATGCTCTGCTCTACATGCACCTACACTACAAGCAGCCATTCTTCAACCGACTACAAGCAGCCTTTCATCAACCGATTACACTACAAGCCGCCACTTTACGAACAAACTATCAAAATCGGAAATAAAAACTTTACGCAAACTCGATTAAAATTTTTTGTAAATTATATTATGCTTTTAAATTTTTTGTCAATGGGTATCGCCGTTTAACAATCACCCTATAAGATGGTTGGATGTTCTGAATTGAAATCAGAAACACAATTCTTAAAATTTTACCATATGTTCTGACTTGAAATCAGAAACATAATTCTTAAACTTGTATCATATGCTACCTTGAAGTTATGTGTTGAAATCTCTAAAATATCACCAAAAGCAAACATTACAGCATGTGTTGTTTCTTTCTGATTGGTTTAACCAACAGATGGAATGTTGAAAATATTAATATCTACGGTATATAAGCCAAGCGAAAATATACCAGATCACACGAACAACCATCTCACAACCACTCTCATACTGAGACCCCCAACCATCCCAATCACCAAAATCTCAAATCTCTATCTCGATAACTATCAATCCATACCCCAATGTCTCTTGGTATATAATTGATGTTTGTCCTCTATATTTGAAATAATATATCTATTTACGAGTGAAAGAAACTTTGTTTATTGAATAAGAATAGGAAAGTCTTAGCAACATTCAGAAAGATCCCTTGTTCTAACTAGCTGCGATTTGGTCGATCGCAATAAGTTAAGTCATGTTAATTTGGAATATTTGTTATAAAACTATATATGTTTTTTGGTTTGTACAGTCAAAAGGTTCCATTTTTATCAACTGTTTTCTAAGCAATTAATTTAGTTTCAAGTCACTTGATGATTGTTTATTCAGACTTCTGAAGATCAACCTGGCTCTTGTTAACTGTGAGAGCTCTATAGTTATATCGACAATCCCATACAAATGGCTGCTTTTGAATATCGATCAATTTTATTGGATACGATCAACTGGTCTTAAATTTTTATCAACGGTTTTTGAAACAACTATATGATGGTTAACATTATTATCTCAACAATTAATGGTTGTTTGTTCTTCTTATTTCTGCAGATCAGTCTGTCTCTGATTGACCGTGAGGGCTTCATAGGGGCCAAGAACTCCTCCCGATTTGTGGTTGAAGTGCAATGGAAGGACGGGTTAGTCACGCAAGTGAAGAGTGTCATCACAGCCACCAAGTGGAGTTCAGTCAGTGTTGTCTGCACCATGCTTCTCATGCTAGAAAAAGTGAGATGAGTCATAGCAAACAATATGTTTTTTGGACCAACTTAACATCCTTCCCCCCCCCCCAAAAAAACCGTTTATCAAATTTAATGCGAATTAAAATGCTGGGGTGGAAGATCTTAACTTGGTCTATCTGGGGTGGGGGGGGGGGGGGGGGTGGGGGTTTGTTCCTTGATTTAAATTTTTTAATTCTTTTGCTGGAAAAACTAAAAATGATAACAAACCGATCATTTATGCTAATGCTAAAAACATGCATAATGTTGCTCGTTGCTCATGCTAAAAAATGAGATTATACTAAAGAAAACGTTAGTTGTTTATTGGATAGTAATCAGACTTTAAGCTTCATTTACCCAGAAAAAAATTTCAAAGTATAGGTTACCCAATTAACTCAATATATGGAAGCTAGCGAATCTGAGCAAAATTCTTTTCTGATAGCCTTCAAAGTCGTGATTACACATCTTTGAAATTTTCCGAAGACTTCCGAATTTCAAAAATGTAAATATCAAATGAAATATTTCATTTGATTTGAATATTTTGAAATTCGGAAGTTTTCTGAAAATTTTCAGGAAATGTAATCGTGACTTAGAACACAATCAAAAATTTTTTGCTCAGTCTTGTTAGCTTCCATATTTTGAGTTCATTTGGAAGTCTATTCCTTGAACTTTTTCAGTATTTAAGCTTTTTTTTTCTGCGTAAATGAAGTTTAAAAACCTGATTACATCAGTTACAGATTTACGAATTCAGTATTATATAACAATTTAACTATTTAGAGTGTAATAAACTACAAACTTTTTGTTGTTTGTTGTAATCTCATTTTTTTCTAGCAAGAGCAAAATTGTGCACCAGTAAATGGTCTCGAAAGGTAATTTAAAATTTCTTCGTATCGACAGTTATATTGAGATAAACTGCTTCTCAAAACTAGAATTATTTTAAAAAAATGACTAATGAAGAAATTAGTTACAGAAAAAAATACGCTAAGAAAGTTTATGGCATATTTTAGGCCTATGGATATGGGACGCGTATCTACGCTTCAATCAAAAGCGAACGAGAGAAAAAGAAGATCCAGAAACAGATGCGACAACAGCGCGAACTAGCCGAAAACACCTATTTAGCCGAAAAATCAGCCAATGGAAGCCCGCAATCACCGAGGATGAAGAAAGATTTCACAGGGTTCAGCAGCAGTCCGTGTAAAAATTACCTTAACGGAAACTTAAAACCAAAAAACTCTGACAATAATGACCATCTTAATGACGAAATTCTAATACTCTCTAATGGTTATGCTAGCAAAGACGGCGCGTATGATAAATTGCCAACATACGATACAAAAATCGACGAAACAGATAATAAATTTGATAACTTGCCGAGGAATGGCTCTGTGAGGAAAATGCAAAACGAAGGTGATGGAAAAAATGTTCGTAATAGGAAGCCAAAAGCAGAAATAACACCGTTGAATTTAAGTCGGCTTAGACGAAATATGGTCGAGATTTCGGCCATTTTGACTGATTCTGGGATTTCGCTGGAAGACCACCAGAATCTGAAGTTATGAACTGATATAAATTATCTTTCCCAATTATCTTTCATTGAATCATCATAATGTTTGTTCCATCCAGAATAAATTGAGTCGTATTAGCTGAAAAATTTAATTTTTGTATTCTGAATGTTTTTTATTGTTTAATTTCCAATTTTCAAGACCAGGGTAAAAGTTTGAGGTAAACTTTTCAGTGAGGGTGATTTTGAAACAAAATTTTTGAAAATTAACCTTCCATCAAAAATTTTCAAGATAATTTCAAGATTGTTTTTTGCAACAATTTGGATGAAGTCAAACTAATTCAAAAAAACTGATTGGTTTTTTATAGTAGAAACCGAATAAAATTATCGACACAATTTTTGTCCCTAAGGGACCGACTGCCTTTAACGGCAAGTGACGCAGTTTTTAATTCAAAAAGTTGAAAGATAAATTGAGAAAAAAAGGAAAGTATCATTTTAATTTCTGTATATACCATTTCGTACTGATTGATTATTATAGTTTAAACCGAATAATGTTATTAAAACATTTTGTATATTTAGGTTCCGACTGCTTTTTAAGACAAGGAACGTAGTTTTTGGTTCAAAATGTTAAACTTAAAATGAGGAAAAAAGGAAAAAAGCATTTTCTAAAGATCTCCTACCATCTCCTACTCAATGTCAAGTACGAAATGATGTTTGTATCGACTTGTAACTATTTTGCTTTGTTATCGTCTCGTAATTATTTTGCCTCAATTAAAGTTGGGTTGCTTTGAGATCCGTCATGGATTAAAAGAAAACCAGCATATAGCGGGTATTTAATACAAATCAGCTTAATTTGCAAAAGTTTGTAGAAGAAAACTTATCGCAAATTTATCGCAAAAGGAACCGTTCATTAAGTAACCTGAAATTCGGAATAATGAAAATGTTTGGTCAAAATTGAACCGTTCATTAAGTAACCTGAAATTCGGAATAATGAAAATGTTTGGTCAGTAATGAACCGTTCATTTAGTAACCTGAAATTTGGAATAATGAAAATATTTGGTCAGTAATGAACCGTTCATTAAGTAACCTGAAATTCGGAATAATGAAAATGTTTGGTCAGTAATGAACCGTTCATTAAGTAACCTGAAATTCGGAATAATGAAAATGTTTGGTCAGTGATGAACCGTTCATTAAGTAACCTGAAATTCGGAATAATGAAAATGTTTGGTCAGTAATGAACTGTTCATTAAGTAACCTGAAATTCGGAATAATGAAAATGTTTGGTCAGTAATGAACCGTTCATTTAGTAACCTGAAATTCGGAATAATGAAAATATTTGGTCAGTAATGAACCGTTCATTAAGTAACCTGAAATTCGGAATAATTAAAATGTTTGGTCAGTAATGAACGTTCATTAAGTAACCTGAAATTCGGAATAATGAAAATCTTTGGTCAGTGATGAACCGTTCATTAAGTAACCTGAAATTCGGAATAATGAAAATGTTTGGTCAGTAATGAACTGTTCATTAAGTAACCTGAAATTCGGAATAATGAAAATGTTTGGTCAGTAATGAACCGTTCATTTAGTAACCTGAAATTCGGAATAATGAAAATATTTGGTCAGTAATGAACCGTTCATTAAGTAACCTGAAATTCGAAATAATGAAAATGTTTGGTCAGTGATGAACCGTTCATTAAGTAACCTGAAATTCGGAATAATGAAAATGTTTGGTCAGTAATGAACTGTTCATTAAGTAACCTGAAATTCGGAATAATGAAAATGTTTGGTCAGTAATGAACCGTTCATTTAGTAACCTGAAATTCGGAATAATGAAAATATTTGGTCAGTAATGAACCGTTCATTAAGTAACCTGAAATTCGGAATAATGAAAATGTTTGGTCAGTAATGAACCGTTCATTAAGTAACCTGAAATTCGGAATAATGAAAATCTTTGGTCAGTAATGAACCGTTCATTAAGTAACCTGAAATTCGGAATAACGAAAATGTTTGATCAGTAATGAACCGTTCTTAGTAACCTGAATTTCGGAATAATGAAAATGCTTGGTCAGTAATGAACCGTTCATTAAGTAACCTGAAATTCGCAATAATGAAAATGTTTGGTCAGTAATGAACCGTTCATTAAGTAACCTGAAATTCGGAATAATGAAAATGTTTGGTCCGTAATGAACCGTTCATTAAGTAACCTGAAATTCGGAATAATGAAAATGTTTGGTCAGTAATGAACCGTTCATTAAGTAACCTGAAATTCGGAATAATGAAAATGTTTGGTCAGTAATGAAGTAACCTGAAATTCGGAATAACGAAAATGTTTGGTCAGTAATGAACCGTTCTTAGAAACCTGAAATTCGGAATAATGAAAATGTTTGGTCAGTAATGAACCGTTCATTAAGTAACCTGAAAATCGGAATAATGAAAATGTTTGGTCAGTAATGAACCGTTCAGTAAGTAACCTGAAATTCGGAATAATGAAACTGTTTGGTCAGTAATGAACCGTTCATTAAGTAACCTGAAATTCGGAATAATGAAAATGTTTGGTCGGTAATGAACCGTTCATTAAGTAACCTGAAAATCGGAATAATGAAAATGTTTGGTCGGTAATGAACCGTTCTTAGTAACCTGAATTTCGGAATAATGAAAATGTTTGGTCAGTAATGAACCGTTCATTAAGTAACCTGAAATTCGGAATAATGAAAATGTTTGGTCAGTAATGAACCGTTCATTAAGTAACCTGAAATTCGGAACAATGAAAATGTCTGGTCAGTAATGAACCGTTCATTAAGTAACTTGAAATTCGGAATAATGAAAATGTTAGGATGTAATAAATCAGTTTTATAGTGATCTAGCTAGAGCTATCAAATTTGCAAAATACTATTTATCCTTATCAAAAATTTGAACTCTCCTAAAAAAAGGTTGACAGTTAGAATGGCTCATTTCAAAGTAGCCAATACTGTTTATCAGATTAAAATTAAACAAAAAACTAAATTTGTACGGATGTTTAAACCTAACAAGAATACAACAAATTTAGATTCCGCTTGTTGTACATCATGCATCTTTAAACAAATTGGCTTCGTTTTACAAACAAAAAAGAAACTTAATGCTGAAGTTTGAAACTCACTTATGATTGAAAATTTAGTTTCGATTGATCAAGTGTCAAAAATAACGTTTTCAAGCCAAAAAATTCATTATCATTATCTGAAACTATTCATTTTTTGATGAAAAATTTATTTGCTTGAGTTAGTGTAAACTTGGATAATTTTTATAAATACTTTCCGTGTTTTCAAAAAAGCAAAAAAGCAAAGAAAATAGTTTAAACAGCAGGTTTTTTAGATTAGAATATTAACAAGAGGTTAAGACCGGGGTTGAAGCTAAGTTAAAGAACGATTTGTCTCCAGGTGGTTAAAAAAGTTCTTTGAACGTTTTAAGGCATCAAAAAAAAATCATCGCCGGTGTTAAGAATTATTCGTTTTGAATAGTTATTGATTTTTTGATTTTAATGTTTTTATCAGTGCAAAAACCCAATTTTTGCGGGCGCAATGAAGATCATGAAAAACTTTGTTAAAAATTTGTATTCGTTTTTCACAACCTTTTAAAGCTTTTTTCCAGCAATCTTTGCCTCACGCGCTGCAAGAAGAACAGAGTGATGCATTTAGCGATTAACAAGGTATTAAAAACCTCAGGTGATTGGCGTCAAAACGAGCCAAAATTCAATTTGTAACGACTTCAGAGCCGGAATAAGTCATCACTCACATATAATTACAAAAGAATCGAACGTTGATTGTACTGGTTCGGTCAATTTGGCAGTTTTCAGTTGCCCATTACAATAGGTATAATAATCACATTAAAACTAATTATTTAATTTTACGGAGTAAATCAATGCTTCTTAGTTTGAAACGCTTTATAAAAAAGAATAGCTAAAAAAGCCAAAATTTTTCTGATAAAGCTGCACTGAGCAGAGTTATTCTTCATTTTTTTTAAGTTGGAACAATGAAGACTCTGCAAAAAGCGCATAAGGTAGATACAATGTTTTTGAGCTACTGTCGATGATTAGTGATGATTAGTGTTGTTTTAGGCGATTAGTTTATCAACCCAACAAAAATGTCTTATTCATGTTTTTGTTAAAATCCAAACAGGGCTAAAAAGGTTTTTGGAACTACATTATACTGTTAGTCCAAAAAAATTAAATTGACAGGTAAAAAAGAAATTCCTTCAGATTATTTTTGAACTTGTAAAAAGTAACTTAGAGCGTCTTTACCGTGGCTAAGAGTATTTTTTATGAAGTAACTGGATCGGAAAATTTTACATTAATCACATAAGTTACAAGTAAAAAAAGTATTTGTCTCTCTAGCGTCCATATGTGGGTCAGACAAATTACAGATGTCGCAAATTCATAATGCAACCAAGAAACTTTTGGACAAAAATTTTGCAATATACAAGATATACTTCACAACCTGTCATAACTAAAAAATTTGTTACGATATTTTCTTTACTAAGAAAGAAAACGTAGGGCGATTTTATTTTAATCATTGGAGTTACAAGTAAAAAAAGTATTTGTCTCTCTAGCGTCCATATGTGGGTCAGACAAATTACAGATGTCGCAAATTCATAATGCAACCAAGAAACTTTTGGACAAAAATTTTGCAATATACAAGATATACTTCACAACCTGTCATAACTAAAAAATTTGTTACGATATTTTCTTTACTAAGAAAGAAAACGTAGGGCGATTTTATTTTAATCATTGGAGCTTGTCGTGAATATTATGTAAAGTGTGGTAATTCATGATGCTAATTGAATAGAACACCAGTAAGCTAAACTAATTATTTGGTCCAAAACATTTCATTTTTCCAAAATAAATGTTCCAATATTTTGTTGTCAAAACTATTCAAATAGCTATAAAAATGGAAAGCAAACAGCTATTTGAATTTTTATCTAAAAATTTCAATTTGATTTGCGGGAGGCCATGGATGTTAAACGTTACAGTGACCCCAAAATAAACAAGACTGCTCGTATCATGGCGAAGCCCTGAATGTTCCGACTGCCTTTTAAGGTTTATGGAGCAGTGATAACGTTAAAAAATCAAGTAAAATAAAACAAAATCAAAATTTTTTTTCTAAAATTTGAAATTTTTAAAGAAAATAATCCCCCCACACGCCATATAAAGTACAAAAGGATAAATTTCCCTCCTTGTAACAAATAATCTATGGCAAATAAGCTTCTTGCAACCAATATGGAACAATTTATAAGACGGATTAACTCTCCGCTTACGCGTTAATAGCGCGAAATATATCGCGCGTTAATTCTCCCAAATTGGCCAAAATGGCGATCTTTAAACCCCCATAACTTTACAAAAAATGATCACAGGTGAAATATATTTTCAAATTACAGCTCAGGACAACACAACAATACCCTTCGAATTATTGAAAAAAATATTCCGTCAAAAATGGCTAGTTAAAAAGTCGAAATTTGTCTGAAGAAAAAAAAACCCACCTCGACCACAAATATCCGTCACTTTCGTATCAAAAATTGGAACAATTAAAGCTTACTATCATAAAACATCTTGACAAACATGTACTTCCCACAAAATTTGTAATTATATAAGCTTTTTTTGCTTGTATGTCACCGTTTTTTGTTTTTTGCAAGATTATGCTCATCGAGACTGAGGATTTATCTGTCCTCAATCAGTTGGATGTGATGCAAAAGGCACGAAATATTGTTGCGTCACAAGTTGCGCTAGTCGATTTATTGTTCCGACTTTCGATACGAAAGTAAAGGAATTTTTGTGCTCGGGTTGGTTTTTTTTTTCTTACAAATTTCGACTTTTTAACTAGCCATTTTTGACAGGATTTTTTTGTATCATTCGACAGGTATTGCTGTCCTGCGCTCAAATTTGAAATGATTTTTCTTCAATGATCATTTGTCGTAAAGTTATGGGGTTTTAAAGGTTGCCATTTTGGCGAATTTTGTGACAATTAACGCGCGATATATTTCGCGCTATTAACGCGTAAGCGGAGATTTAATCCGTCTTGGAAATCGTTACAAGTTGGTTTAAAGAAGCGTATTTGCCATAATTTATTTGTTAGAAGGAGCGAAATCTATCCTTTTGTACTTTATTTGGCGTGTGAGTGGATGATTCTCATAAAAAGTTTCATTTTAGTTTTTTTAATTCATTTTTTTATTACATTTAATTTTTTTTAAGGTTATTACTGCTCCATAAACCTTAAAAGGCAGTCGGAACATTCAGGGCTTAGCCCTGATACTAGCAGTCTTGTTATATTTGTATCTAGTTGGATCAATAACAATCAACCATGTACCGTTTAATTGATATTTGACTTCTGTCATGAAGCCGAACTCATAAAAAACGTAATTTTAAGACTATTTGCAGCACATTTTTCGATTATTAAAAATCACAAAGAAAAATTGGACCATTTAACTCATAAGAGGCGTCTACTGGGCGAGAGAAAAATTGAGCTTATATTTTTACAAAAATATTAAGTGTACATGACAAATATACAGTCTATAAACTAACATGCACGCACCAACAGAGAACTGATATTATATTAAGATATACTATTACTACAAAAAACAATCTCATTAAAATCGTAAGAGTAATCGTAAAAGCCATTCAGATTAAGAGTACTCATAGTAAAAATAGTTACAGTTTTCATTACAATTAAACTGTTATAGAAGTAAAGAAAATGGTGAAGTTTGAAAAAAAATATGTATAGCTTATCTATCATTTTATGAATGTGAGCTGTAATAAAACTATGAAGCGTATTTTTACAAAATCAAATTTGTTTTCAATTCTCTTATCGGTCATAATTGACAATTCAAAAAGCGCTTGAAGTCGATAAATTTTTTATGAGTTTTAACTTATGCCGTTTTATTCAGCTGTAACAACTCGTTTTTCAATCATTAATTTGATTGAATAAAAAAATCACTGAAAATATGCGTCGATGATTAGTTAAAGAATTCTTTAATGATTTTCAATTAGTTTGGATGATTTTATATTTTTGATCGCGTGGTCTTCAGGTGTCGTTTTTAAGTGAACTTTTTTTGTTCTTCTGCTCAGCTAAGCTTCGAACCAGGATTTAATTTGAACAATCGAGCAAAATATTGAGTTGCGATGCAGCTTGGTAAGTTAACTTATGCTTTTTTCCTTAGAAAATTTTGTTTAAGCGGTTGAATTTTTTATTTTATGGTAAAGTCGACTTGACGCAGAGCTGTAAGGGTATTGTTAACAGATTAAACCAAAGCAAAAAATGATTGAATGAATTTTAAAAATCATAGTCATAAGGAGGAAAATTGATCAGCACTGAATTATTCAAAACTTCTCCAAATTTACGAATACACGAGAACTTTATCAATCATGTTATAACCAAATAGTTTAAGTTACCCGCCGGGTCTTAGCATTGAGTCAATTGTTTTTCTAGCATTTTGAGCCTTGCTAGGTTCGCTAAAGTTTTTTTTGAAGAACCGGAATTCAAATTCTTTTTTTTTTTCAAGATTCTTATAATTATTTGTATTTTGTTTACTTGATCTAAGAGTTTTGTAAAATTTCTGGTACTTTCTTACAAGAAGTAAGATCTTTATACCATTTTTGAACCCGGAACAGATCATTATCGTTTTTCATTATAGCATCGAGAAACTCATCTCCTGTATTGTACAAAACAACTTGTACCTACGAGCTCGACGAATCAACGGCCCAAAGTGATCGTTCAAATCTCTCTCCTTTCCCCTATAAACCATACTACAGATCGAATCTTCCTCAAAGAACTAGCGGTTCATTCAACATAGGAAGTAAACAATACATCAATCCATCACCAGTAAATAAACGACCGAATACCAGAGATTTTTCGGAAATCAGTTACGGAAATCGACGTTTCGATGCAGAACGCTCTCGTTTTGACGACCAGAGGTCAAAGTCAAGCGGATACTTGAACGAAAATGATGATCAAGCAAGTGGTTTTCAGTACCAAAAATTGAAATCAATTTACGACAAGCGCAAGAGTCATTTTGTTCAACGCCAGAGTTCATTGTTTAAACCTTGGTTTCCCAAATACGATGAGTTTGATCTCGTTTCAAAAAGTGGATTTTATGCTTCGCAAGGAGAATTGCCGAACGCCAACGAAGAAAATGGAATTCAACTGAAGTATCTACACACGAAAACTCCAATTCAGAACTGGACAAGTTCAAGATCAATTCGTGGAAACTATTTTTCGAAACTTAACGAACAACAACTGCCAAAGCAGCAGCAACAACAACAAAAACAACCAGATGCCATAATTATAACTTCGATAGGCCAGCAAAAACTATGTCCGGTTCACAAGCGAATCGTTTCCAGGCACAAATCTATGGACTCACTTCAATTCAACAGAGTCCATAGTGGTCCATACAACAATCCAGATGATCGAAATTGCGATGAATCGTCGCATACAGAAGCTCGGAATTGTCTGAATCAAGATTTGGACGGGAATTTTAGGGTCAAGTTTCAGCCCAGTTCTAATCGAAGCTCTCTTCAAAGTTTAAATACTTACGAATATCCGCCAGATCCCGAGACCAATTTGAATGTCGGATTTCAAACAAATCAGGAGCGAAAATTCCAGAACAGTGAACAAGAGTTTGAGCCGAAATCTGTTCAGCGTAAAACCAGTTACAGTCGTTTTTACACTGAGAATGCTCTAAAAGCACAACAGAATAATCTAGAAGTTTCTAGAAACAAATCAAAATCAGCTGCGGATTTGGACCAATCAAAAGACACAATCATAAGTGCTCACAACGACCAGGAAAACCCTAAAATAAACAAATTTATGGACAGCGAAAAATATGCTAAGACAATTGGAGATGAAAAAAGTTTCCCAATAAGCGGAAGAGCAGAATTCTGGGGAAGGGGAGTGGAAGAAGGGGGACTTCTCCACCGGAGGGATCAAAGGGAATCTATGGAATCAGGGTACAGCACACAGGAGTCGCTTGTTAACCAGAAGACTGCAATGCAAGATAAAGGTAAAGCAAAAAAAGGAGACAATTGCCGGTTGGTCACATTCATAATAGAAGAAAAAAGAACTTTTTTCCAAGTTTGGGTCATTTTGCGCGCTGTGCAATGAGTAGAACTTGAAAAAATAACTTAGAACATAAGTAACTTAGAGATACTCCTGGGTTATAAACAAGTTTTTCAGGGATTGAAAGAGAATTTTTCAAAAAATTGTTTCACTCATCACAAAAAAAATTGAAGACAATTGGAAAATTCGAAAACAAATAATTACAAAAAAAAAACTGAGAAACCATTTCCGAGTCGGCGGTGATCTTGATTTTTTCTACCTATTCGCATTTTGCTTTAATTTCTTTTTTCATGTTTGTGTTCGGCAGTTACGACAACATCCAATCCATCGTCCTTGATCTGTGGCAAAAGAATAAGGCCAAAATGTTCCGTAATTGTGGGAGGAGCATGTAATGCAGGGCTCATCATCGCTAAAAGATTACTCAGAAAATGTCACCAGGTAAGGGTTTGTTTTCTTAATGAGCACAGGGGCGGATCTAAGATTTTCTCGAGGGGAGGGGGGCGGAGTTTCAAAATTTTTTTTGAAAATGTTGACCTTTTTTTTAGGTGGACCAAATTGATTTTCCGTTTTGATTATGAGCTTCTACTAATTTGAGTCAAATGCCACCCCTTCACTGAAGTATAGAGAAGATTTCACCCAAACAGATCCTAGTTGTTTTGGTAGGCAAGGCTACCCAATTTTGATACAAATTGAATACTTGGGATGGAAGATAAAAACATCGTGTATTTGGATAGAGCGGATACTAAATTTTTATCAAGTAATTTAATTTCTTACCGACAATTCATTTTGGAAAAAGTTTGAATGTTTTTTTTCTATCTTTTGTTTTAGCATAATGTTTTCATGGGCTTGAAAATTGTTAATTTCAGGTTGTGATACTGGACATCAACCAGAAAAGAGGTCAAGAATTAATTTCAGAGTTGGAGTCTAAAAACGGCTCTGGAAAAATTGGCTTCAAATTATGTGACTCAACTGACAACGAAAGCTTAAAAGGCTAGTCGATCTTTTTTCCTTAACATGACTAAAATCCTCGCCAATGTTTTCTATTTTAATATTTGAGAACTTCACAACAATTTAGGTCTCTTTCATAATCTGATTTTTTAACCCAATCTACCGAAGTGTTTCTGGTCTTGTTAACTGAAATAATCGTACGCTATAGTACCGTTATAGTTGCATTATTTGCAGATTGTTTCGCAGACATCAGAAGTTTGTTCGGCGACATTGAACTTCTGTTCAACTTGGTCAGAGATGTATCAGAGAAACACACATTGGAACAACAACTCAACATTAACATGGTAAAAAAAGATGGCATTCAACAGTGTCGAGTGTTCAACAGTCTCAAAAATTGATCATATTTTGGAGTTTTTGTGAATCGTAGGCAATTTTGCGTTAATACTGTTTGATTTCAGAGCAAAAACGAGACGAAAATTTGAAAATTTGCTGAGTTAATTGGGGGAAGGGTTATTTTCATGATGGAGAGAACAAATGATGGAAAACTCTGTGAAATTGTTAGACTCTCCTATTGGCTAAATGACTTGTGCACAAAACCGAATTCATCATTAACGAAAATTGAATTAAAACAGCACAGCAAAATTTTGCGGTACAATTTGTACCGAATATAAAATACTTGGTTTTAAATTACATTTTTTGAATTCAATTCGATTTTTTTCCAATACCCGACTTATCTGGCAATATTTTTTTAACGGCCAGAATTTATTTGAGATCTCGAGATTTTTGCCATTTCTGAGATTTTTGAAAAGACTCAATTTTATTGGCTAAAAATGGCTGAATATAATTTTTTTATCTTTCAATCCCACCATAATGAGGGACGCCACTAACAAGCGGCGTCATTTTTGTTTTTTCAACTTCCGTCCTTTTGAATGTAATTACTTTTCAGTGATTTCGAATGAGCAAAAACAATGATCAAAACATTTTTCCGCACTGTTTAACAAGATTTTGATTTTCAGCACTGTTGTACTTCGGCATTGTTGTACTGCCCCAAAAGAAAACTTCAGGAAAATATTCAGGAAATCTTTTGCATACATGTGCATTTGCTGGCAGAGAAATTATGACTTGTCATTTTTTTTTAGTTCTGCCAAATGATAATTAGAAATACTATTCTGGGCAGCAAAAATGCTGCGGGCACCGAGCGCCATTGAATCATTTTGATTTTTTGCCATTTTATTGTCAGTATAAAGTTGCATATTAATTTGAAAATGCATTATAATTTTAATATTTTTTCATGTCGACTTGATCCAAAATTAATCAAATATAATGGATTTTTAGAATTTGTTTATCTCATTTGCTGTTTTTTGTTCATTTTTTTCCGTTTTTGATTTTTTTTTTCAATTTTTCCAATTCATTGCTGTCTAACGTTATATTCAATTTGTCATTCTCTCAATCGCCCCGTCACATTCAATTAACTCCTCTCCCCCAACTCACTGTCCAATTTTCAACCAATCCTTCCTCCTACCGTGTTGAACACTCCGTCCCGGATCGTATCGGTGAAGGAGGTTGGTAAATTTTTAGTGAAATTGGGCGGGGGGGAGGTTTGATGTTGACGATGGTGTTGAACGTGGGGGGGGAGAGGAAGTAGTTGAATGTGGGTGGGTTGGAAGAACATGGGGACAGGGGTGAACGTGGTAGGGGGTCTTGATCGTATTGAAACTGAGAGGACGTGGGGTCGAGTAGGGCTGGGTTGTTGGTCATGTGAGGAAGAGGGGGATGAATATTACAGCTGAACGTGGTTTGCCGGGGGGGGGGGGGGTAACAAACGGAATTTTAAAGACAAAGAATAGAAAATTTGGTGACATTTTTTGCACAATTAGTAGGAAAAAAGGCAAATTTTAGAACTAAACAAAAAGTAGATTGTAATCGATTATAATGACTTTTTCTTGTTAAAAAACAATAAATTGTAATGAAATATTTTGAAAAATTAATCATTTTCACAGTAAAAGGTGTTAGGTTATGATTGAATATAATGCAGTATAATGGTTTTTTTCTTTTTTAAATTGAAATAATGGTATATGGGTATTCAACTTTGTGGTCGGCAATTTTCATCTGCGATCGATTATAATGGGATTAGGCGTGTCTTATAAAGCCTCTTATCCTATTTTTTGTCCATTATACAAACTTGCGCGTTATTAATTAAAAAAGACTCAGAAATATAATTTTGTCATTTAGTTTTTGAGAAAAATATCTTTGTAATCAAGCAGGCTGTTCCCACGCATTATCAGGATCCACAAAAACCTTTCAAGAAAACAGTTTAAATAGCATGCTGAAGTTATTTTAATCCTGAGTTAATTTCTTTTGAACATTTTGGAAAGCAGCATGTATTTTCCTGAACTATCTTGCCCCTAAGCAATGTAAAATATAGGAATTTTCATTTCATCGTCTTTATTGATCAAGTGGGTTTCAGATTTTTTAAAATAGTTGCAGCGTTTGCAAATTTTAAAAAAATTTAAACCCTATTTTGCATTACTCATGATCTGCTCTAATTGTAAGACAATAAAAACGACTTGCTTTTTTTCAGCGATAAAATTGACTTGCTTTTTGCGGATATTTTTTGCATAACGGAAGCCCCTCACTTTTTTAACACCCCTATCCTAAATTATTTCACCTACATTTAACCCCCTTCCCCTATTTTAACCATCATCCACACTAGCACATCCCACTTTCCCCCTCACACTTTCCTATCCCTCAGCCACACATACGAGTGTGCCATCCGCCCACACCCTCCTGAAGATGTTAATACGAAGGTGTGTATGTGAGTATATGCAGGCGCGCGTACTTGTATGTGTATTTAAGCGTGTGTGTATGTGTGTGTATGTGTGTGTGTATGTGTGTGTGTGTGAGTGTGTGTGGGAGGGGGGTGGTGTCTTGAGATCTTGCTAGTGTGATGGGTGTAGAATAATAAATATACAGTTCAAATTAAATTTAAAATAACTGAAAGCAAGTTAAACAGTCAACTTTTGAGTATAGTTAAATGTGCTTGAACGTTTCAGGAAAAATTAGAAAAAAAAATATATGTATATACATTATAAGTTGTTTAATCAAAAGTAACAGATAAAATCGTTTATAAGGTTTTTAGTTTTTTTTCGTTGAAACTAGAATCATTTCTAAAGCAGTTATAAAAAAATTTTCTATGGCGTTTCTGGAGACAGTCAGAAAATTTGCATTACAATAAACAATCTATGTGTTTCCGTTGGGGTTATCAAATCTTCGTTAAAGGTCTTGGCTATATGTCCAGACTTTAGAAGCTGTAATAAATCAGTGTTGGGACCGAAAACTCGCATGCCCAACGCCAAGTCTCAACAGAGACTACGCAAAGTCTGAACGAAGACCTCAAAACGTCTCAACAGTCTTTGCAAAGTCTAAACAGAGTCTGCAAAAAATCTGAAACTATTACGCGTCCTCAAAAAGCTGAATAAAGTCTACCAAAAGTCTGAAAATGGTCTGCGCAAAGTTTGGAAATAACTCCGCAAAGTCTGCACAAAGTCTCAAAAAATCTGAAATAAATCTACGCGAAGTCAGATCATAGTCTGTGCAAACTCTGGAAATAGCTGCCAAAGTCAGAAGTTACCGCAAAACTTGGTACCACATATAATCCTTTGATTAGATCGAGTAATATTTCATATTAAAGCTTTTTTAATTACAATTTTCAAAAAAATTTGAGCAAGCTGGCTTATATGCGAAAAAGAACCAGGGCTGACCTCCATAGACCAGCAATGCTAGTCACACAATTTCCTATTTTAAGTTTACAAAAGTTTCAATCGCACAAATTTCATACATTTTGCTAAAACGAAGTCTTCGAATTTTCAATCATTTTTTTGTTTTGGCATAAAGTTGGGTGTATCGTCATAAACAAAACAAAAAAATTTTTGTTTAGAAAAATGCAAGTCATACAATTTTCCAGATACAGAATTTTTTTGAGTCGCATTTTTTGATGGCGACAGCAAAAAGTTTTCGAAGCAGCATCGAAATGTCCCCCAAAAAATGCTCGCTAATCGCAGAACGAAATTTGTGCGAACATTTTTGCAGGCAAAAACTAGTTTTTTTGTGTGCATAACTTAATCTTGGATTATTGTGTCCTTTGAAAAATTGAAATTAAAAAATCTAATTTTTTGCTTTATAAAAAATGCTTGTCATACAGTTTCCTTATAATGAAAAATCATTAATCAAGGACCTTTCATGCAATTTTCTGTTTTATGCAGTTGAATGAAAAGTGTATGAGTAGCATTTTTCCATATATGGAAATTAAATGAGTAGTATTTTGGACAACCCGGGAACTTGAGCCTTTTTCAGCTGTGAAAATTTTGAAGGCTAATTTTGAGATAACAAATTTCACAGACCAGTAAAATTTGTTATCTCAATTTTCTTTAACGGCTTCTTAGGAATACAAAGATCTTATAAAATCAAAAAATTTATTTACTGTTAAACTTTTTTCTTATTCATTGTTTTCAATAATTTTTCGATAAAAAGTTTGTGGTCGAATTTGCTTAACTGCCGTTGTTTAGATAAGTTTGTTTGCTTTTTATTAAGCACTATATATGTTTTAGATGAGCAAAATACAGAGTGTGTGGCTTCTGCGTGAGTTCGGGAACAGTTCTTCCGTCGCAGTTCTACTAACCTCATCTGCAGGTAATGTAAATTGACAAATTTGAACATAAATTGAGGTAATCTTGTTAGCCAATCAAAAAAGTTTTGTCAATGGTTTTATTTCCGTCAAATAATCTTCTTTGTGACAATTGGCTTATTGGTGATAATTTAACTATGCTTCAAATTAGGTTTCATCGAGTGCGAAAATTTTTAAACAATGTCAAAGGATAACATTGGAGAGTGAAGTAAATTTAGAGTAAATTGTACCTTAAATTCCATATAAAATGAAAATCAAGCTCTTGAAAATGAAATTATCTCGGTCAATGACCCTACTACTTTGATGCTCAAGAAAGTATATATGATTTTTCGACTGCTCATTTTTTATATTAGTTGATTTTCTGTCGGGTCATATCAGCCACTAGTGTAAACTAGAGCAGATTTACAGAAAGGGGAGGGGGTTGCGTGTGGAGGCGTTGCTTAGAGCACAAAACATGAGATTTTTATATTGACTAATTTTGTTTTGGAGCTCTCCCAAAGTCACAAAAATTTTTATTTTTCAGCCAAAAAAAAACATTTTTTTTTGCTTCATTCAGCCAAACTTTTTCGCTTAACTGAGCTAAACTGCCGCTTTGGGCCCTTGTCAGTTTCATTTCGTTGCGGGAATACCCGCCACGCCAAATCTGCCGATATTAGAAGAATCTAAAATTAGTTTTGATTTGGAACGAACCAAAAAAAAACAATGAGGCAACAATTTAAACACAAAAAAAAACATAAGACGTATTAATTTGAAATTTTAAAGGTTCTCAACGTTTTGTTTTTCCCCGAAAGCAACCCAATTTATAATTTTTTGTTGAGATGAAGCTTACTTCTTTTTGTGTGTGATTGACCCAACAGCATTCATAATATTTGGGTTAAAAATCGTAAGATGGCACTGAAAACAAAAAATTGAGTTCAAAATGGCACGAAATAACAAAAAAAAGAACTTTTTCCACTTTTTCTCCCTATTGTGCCCAGTAAAATCCACCTCCCCCAAAAGATTATATACTACACTAACGCTAATATTACACAAGTTTTTTATGTTTTACCATCTTCCTTCGTTTTGCAAAAAAAACATCTCTTTTTGCTTCCAGGAATCTACCCACTTGACAATGTGGTAATGAACACAGCTTCTTCTGCTCTAATCGGATTCACAAGGACATTCGCGGTTAGATATCAAATGTTGCGAATGATTTTTTCAGTCTAATATTTTAAATAATTTGATGGATAAAGATTGTTTTCTAAATAGTGAATTTGAAAGAAAGTATAAAAGAAATGTATTTTAAACCTGTGATGCGACGCATAACAGGTTTTGAACAAAGTAATCATTGCAAAAAAAAATTCAACAAAAAATTGAAAATAGGCCTACCAACCAGGAACCATTTTTTAAACTGATTTTTAGTTTTCATGACATAATAGTTTAGCAAAAATACATTAATTTTTGTTTATTCTACGTTTTTTATTCAGAAAAGCGGTCATATTCTCCGAGTGAACACAATTTGCATTGAAGACAAAGTGTCTCCCGAATTGACAGCTTCGGCCATGATCAAATTCGCAGAAGACCGCAGCAGAAACGGACTGGTTATTCTAGTGTCCAAAACGAAAGGACTCAAATACATTGAACCACCTACTAGTGTGTAGATTGAAGAGATTATTGACTCTAGCAAGTTATTTGGACAGCCAATGAAAAACAAAAATGAGTTGAAAAATTGTTTCGAGAAAAGTTTCAGAATCAAATTCTCTATTTTTCATTCTATTGAAAGTGAAATTTCAAGTCGACGTCTTTTTGGAATCGTCAACTTCATTCGTCTTTTTAATTTAAAAAATTGAAAATGTTAGTTTGCAATTATTGATACAGTGCTGAAGTAAATTACCCAGTCAAAACGAATAAAACATAACAGTCAATTTAAAAATTTTCCAAAGTTACTTATTTAATTGCTGACAGACTTATATCACAGTGAGCACCTGTTGTAGTCCACCAACTTTAAGAAGGGTACAATGTCTAAAAACTAGCTCAACTTGTTGAATTTAATACATAAAGGAGGTGTTTTATTTATAGATACAAAAACACCCCTAAAGAGCCTCGGATTTTAACCACAATGAATGATCATCATTTTTCACAATTTACGCACGTTTAATATTTTAAGTGGAGCTATCAGGGAATATGAACTGAACTGAACGGGAAAAAATCAAAAGTAATACACAAAAATTGAGCCTGGACAATATTTAATTTTTATACTGAAAAAAACTTCATACTTTACATAGTCCGAAATTGTCAACCTGGTTTAATCCCTGTTGTTCCGACTTTCGTAACAAAACTAATTGCATGTTTGTGCTCGGGTTGGTTTTTTTCTCCTGACAATTTTCGAATTTTTATATAGCCTTTTATGGTTGTATTTTCTGATATCATTCAAAAGATATTGTAGTCGTGAGCTCAAAATTGAAAAAAAAATTGCACCTGTGATTAGTTTTCTTAAACTATGGGGGTTTGAAGACTGCCTTTTTTGGCCAATTTGGGACAATTAACGCGCGATTTTTTATGTGCTTTTAACGTGTAAGCGGAGATTTAATCCGTCTTAGAAATCGTTCAAAATTGGTTGCAGGAAGCTTATTTGCCATAATTAATTTACTACTAGCAGCAAAATTTATCCCTTGCTTCTTTAGGTGGCGTGTGTGAAGATGATTTTTCCAATCAAATCTCAAAAGTAAACTAGAAATTTTGTTTCGTGTTATCAGATATTTTTTTTCATGTTTTTACTGCTCCAGAGACAAGCAGTCTTGTTTGACTTAGTTTCACGCTGAAAAATTTAAGATATGCGCTACAGTATTCATTAGCTACTGTGTTTTTATTCAGTTTTTTTTTCCTTAAAAGGACATCAAACTGTTTTTTAACGCTTAGAATCAAATTACTAAACTGATTTAAATGCCAAATAAATGAAGGCTCGAGGCTCGCTGTTTGTTTTTTTTTAATTACGTTGAAGGAAGCTCATTTTTCTACTTTGGACCCTCTGCTCGCGCTTTTAAACTTTCAAGGCTACTAATCATCTATTCTGGAGGCACAATTTCAAACAGAAAATTAGGCAGAAGAGAAGGAAAAAAATTTGAATGCACAAAAAAATTAATTGCTAGAACGTTATCTTTACCTGGAAAATGGGATGTGCATATTTTCTTTTCTTTGAATTAAAATAAAAAAAACTGGAAAAAACCTAGTTTGCAAACAACTTATTAAAAAATCTATTGCAGTTTTGGAAGTTTTTGGTACCGCTTAAGAAACTAGGATGCATCCGAAGTTGCAAATTTTAGTCTTTTTAAGTGAAGGCTTAATTTCTATCAGTTCAATGTCTATCAGTTCACAACATGTTGTTTTGACACAAGGAATAGGAAATTTTTAAAATCACAATGCTGCAAAACGATTTTTATGAGTTTTGAAAGTTTTTTTGATGCATTATTTTTTTTCCAGTATATACCGCCTATTTTGTTCTTTTCCATGTAATTTTTTGTTGCTACTAGGCTGGGGGTATATAATCTGAAAGCTCGCAAATCGAAGGTGAGACGGGTATAAGTCTTAACAAATGATATTTATTTTTTGGAGCTGAACAGTTTCTGTTGTGTCTTGTTCTTCAGTCAAAAAATTCTCATCTTTAATTTTTCAAAAAAAAAACTTTTCAATGCTTTGTATATTTTTCTCCGAGGGCTGCTAATTTTTGTTGATTTGCATGTGCAGACTGACTTTGGTCGGTTTTTTGCCCAGTTGCTTTTTCAGCATCCATTATTTGGCTCAGATTTCGAATCAAATTAACATTAAGCTTGTATTTCGTTTTTCTTAACATATTTTTAAAACCACTCGTTACACCACAAAACATTTTATGTTCTTCCGAACCAACCCACCTGAGCATCGCATAATCATCTTTTTTGTGGTTAACTAGAGGTTTTAGAAATTGAGCTTACATCTAAATATATTTGTCATGGCCTAACTAAATCGCACGCCGATTTATGTTTTAATAGGACAATGTGAGCAATACGAGGCAAAAAAGGAAGAAAAAAGAGACAAGTTTTTTTTTATTTTATTTTATCAAGTTTGCTTTCCATTTTCCCAATCATATCACGGAATATCACCCATTTAGCGATTTCATGGTGCAAAATATTGTGAAAATTGAATTTGAGAAAGCTGGATAAAAGTGAAAAAGAACCTGATAAGTACTACAACCTCGAAAATATCAGTGCAAGAAAAAAATAGCTGGTTCAAATTCAAGGTTTTCAACGTGTTTCTCAAGATTTCAATTGAAAGCTCCAATTATAATTGATTGATTCGTTACACATTCGCATTGGTAAGCATTGTTGCATCTTAGTTGTCATTTTGATAGTTCATTGCCAGTTTTTATTGATATAATTGGCATACTTAGATACCCTTGGTCCCCTAGTGGATCCTTTGCAGTTGTTAACTGTACTGACTAGAGAGCACACGCAAACGGGTCCACTGTTTGTCATTGGGTGAAAAATGGTTCCCCTGAATGCGGGGAGCAACTGCTTTTTCGGTTGCTTCCCTGAAGACAACCTTTGCCGCTTGTGCAACTAGTTTCTGACATTTGAACTTTTTGAAGCCTGTCGGCGTAGTTTCCGCCATAAGACAGCTGACCCAAAACACACGCTGCTATTGATTAGCCTTTGTAGTCGCTTTTGCAAAGTGGGGTTATCCAATTACTGGATAGTTTACTGTCCAGATATAGCAGGGCTATATCGTCATTCCAGTTAGAAGGTGAATCATTTGGGTTGAATTCGGAGCTTTTCAGATATTTTACACTGTGTATCTTAACGATATCTCCCTTTTGTGGAGTCTCTGACTTCAACGATGATCTTCCTAGGACCAGGTTAATCGAAAGAACTTTAAGTTTTTTGTCTTTTTTATAGTTTCCCACCCATTCGTCAAATTACAAAATAAAATTGTTCATAAATTGTTCACGCGGCATTTTGCAGGTAAGAAATGTAGTAAAATTTTGTTCAACTGCTCATGCTGAAAATTTGGCGCAGTTTATAAAATGAAAAATTATTTTAGTTTGAGTTTTATATATTAAATTTCCAAAAAAGAATCAAAAGAAGGACGCTGGAAAAGAGCCATTATACTCAAATTGACTGAAACAAAAAGTACACTTTACACTTTATTGCATACTTTTTACAACTAGTTTTGTACACTTAAGGTAACAAAAAAATTATTTCAAGCTGTTTGTTTGGGTTAACCAGTTGGAACTGTTAGCCAATCAAGCGTTTGACACGCTTGTAGCAAATTTAATGCAAACTGGACGCTGAGTTGGATGATCTTTTTTGACCAGGTTGGAAGAAAGGATGATAATTTTTGATGTTTATTTGTTAGTGCAAATCATTCGAAAATGAGGTTTTTTTTCCTTTTTCCCCCTCATACTTTATTCACTTTTACAAGTAGAAACTTTGTTCACCTTGTTCGATTGTAATGAAAATTGACAGACTAATAAGGTTATAACAAACAAAATCGACCCTCTAAAACCACTCTTTACACCATAAAGTTAATGTTAGCGTGAGGTGAAGGGAAGGAAAAGAGCCGAAATTGAATTAGCTTAACATCAAAAGTCGTAAGATCGTTCTTTTTGCGAGTCAACTTTCAAGTTTTATTAAATTGTCAAATCCTTTGTTTTTCTATTTATTGGAGAATTCTACCATTGATCATAATCAACAAAAATCAGAGTCCAAAAATTTGTCTGCTTTCCAGGTTTTCTTGGAAAAATACCTACTAAATTAGCGTATAAAGTTACTTACAAAAGCTGTCCCTACGAAAATTTGCTTTAAAATGTTGTCATTTTGGTACTACAAGGATCGCAGGATGGAAAAGCAAGTATGATAGATATCTCCCGCATGCATTTTGCATGTTATAATTTTGACAAATTTTTCAGATTAAAAACCGTAACTAATATTTTGTGTAAATCGAGAAATATCCGCGATTCAACCTATTTTACGGTTTAGCAACCATAATTGGGTTAAATTATTTATAATCACAACTCAATTTTGGATTTTTTTTCTGAATTTTCTACCCTAAAATGGTGAGGATGGTTTCTGTGAAGTTTTTTTAAAATATGTGTTTGAAAACATAAAATTTGTTTGAAATTATACCGCAACATTTTTCTGAATCGCAAAATTATACTTCCTAAATGATTTGAGTGCTTCAGGTGTATTTTTCTCAAGGGACTTCAAGGGACCACTCTATCATAGTAATTTTTACTCATTGCTAGAGCAACAAACTTTTTTCAATAACGTTTCAGAAACAGTTTTGTACAACTGGAATTAGTTGACGTTAGAGCTTGCTAACTATACGTGGGTTTTTTAATATTGTCATTCCATATAAAATTTTTTTGGTTCTTTTTTAACTAAAATTTTGTCTTAAAAAGAAGAAAACGCCCAAATGCCCAAAATTCTCTGTGCAAAAACGTGAAAAAATTTTGAATAAATGATGAATTAAGACAGAATGGGTCAAAACTTAGATTGATTGTTCAAAAAACTTGAATATGAATTTTTTCCAGGGTCATTAAAATCAAAGAAATAGGTGAACTTGAAAAGAACGAAACAAATTTTATTTGGTGTTCACTTTGCTAACGCAGTGGGCAGCGGTGAGCACGTGGTACATTCCAATGATGCTGCCACCGCATTTGTCGTAGGTGGTTGACCCGGAGTCGTACACTTTCACTGCTACGAAGAAGCCTCGATAGGGCGAACAGTAGGCATTCGTGATGGAAGAACTAAAG